AAAGAAAGTTACTGGTGGTCTGGTATGAAGAGGGAAATAGCCGAGTACATCAGTCGATGCCTTACTTGTCAGCAAGTCAAGGCAGAACATCAGCATCCAGCTGGGTTATTGCAGCCACTTTCCATTCCAGAGTGGAAATGGGAGCACGTGACTATGGATTTTGTGGTGGGACTACCACGGACAGTTAAGAGTTATGATGCCGTATGGGTTGTGGTTGATAGGCTCACGAAGAGTGCACATTTTCTACCTATCAACACCACCTATGCACTTGAGAGGTTAGCCAAATTGTATGTGGATGAGATCGTGAGGCTACATGGGGTTCCTATAACCATTGTATCCGACAGAGATCCACGATTCACATCACGATTTTGGCCGAAGTTCCAAGAGTCCATGGGAACAAAACTGAAGTTCAGCACTGCTTTTCACCCACAGACAGATGGACAATCTGAGCGGGTTATACAAATTTTAGAGGATATGTTGAGAGCTTGTGCATTGGAGTTCCAAGGAAGTTGGGACAACCATTTAGCACTTGTAGAGTTTGCCTATAACAATAGTTATCAGGCAAGTATTGGCATGCCCCCATACGAGGCATTGTATGGGAGAAGATGTCGTACACCGTTGTGTTGGGATGAGGTTGGCATGGCCAAGCTCGAGAGCACGGAATTGGTGGAGATCACCAAGTCAAAGGTGAAAATGATTCGAGAGAGACTTAAGGCGGCCCAGGATAGACAGAAGAGCTATGCCGATAAGCGCCGGAGAGCCTTGGAATTTCAGGTGGGAGATGAGGTGTTCTTGAAAGTTTCACCTTGGAAAGGAATCATCCGATTTCAAAGCCGAGGGAAACTTAACCCACGCTACATAGGGCCATTTGTAATTCTTGAGAGGATTGGGGCCGTAGCATACCGATTGCAGCTGACTCCAGAATTGGAGAAGATGCATAACGTGTTCCACGTGTCCATGCTAAAGAAATATGTGCCGGATCCGTCTCACGTGTTAGAGAAACCACCCGTGGAAATACGTGAGGATTTGAACTATGCCGTACGACCGGTGAGGATACTTGATAGGCAAGTAAAGAAGCTGAGAAGCAAGAAAGTTCCAATGGTTAAAATCCTTTGGAAAAGTGACCGAGTTGAAGAAGAAACTTGGGAAACAGAAGCCTTGATCAAGGAACAGTATGCATTTCTTTTTGAATAAGCATTTGTGAATTTCGGGGACGAAATTCCCGTTAAGGGGGGGTGAACTTGTGACACCGCACCCGGATGTACTTGAATTCGAAATTTGATATGTACTTGAATTTCCCAGCGAGTAAAATTCGTGTAATTAATTGGCATATTTAATTGATGTGCGATTAATTAAAATTATTTATCGGGTCCATTATATGAGAATGGGCTACCAAACATTTATTTGGATCAATTTAATAATTTTAGAAGCCCAATAAAATGCCAACTAAGGTTGGGAGGAATGTTTGGACAACCCGAGCGCTATTTTGACCCAACCCGCCAAAAATAGCAGGAATAATTGGGAGGGACTTCCTACACCCACTTGGGGTATTCTACACACTAATTAGACCCAAAATTATTGAGAGCAAGACAAATGGGAGGGGGATGTGCGGATGAGAGCAAGGGGAAGTCTCATAGAGACAAACACCCATACCCCCATGTCCTACCCATTGACATTTGCCATCTAAGTGATTGAGAGGAGTTGCCTCCTATCCTTAGCATCATTCGAACCACCCTGAACTCTAGGAAAGCTTCTCACAGAGCTCAGGGTATAAGGAAACAAGAAAGAGGAGAATCCAAGAAGGAAAGGAGGTGTGTTGGAGGTAAGAACTCAACAAACACTTTTAACTAGTATTATTGTTGTATGATTTTTAAGAAATCATTGGGTGGATTAAATATGGAGTTCTACACGTTTAAAAGTGTAGAATAATGTTATAAAGTGGTGGTATTTAACTTAGAAGAGTCGTGGAATCGATATGAGTTGAAACCGCCGGAAACCGCCACTTGAAGGGAGCTGTTCGTAGTTGCAGACCACGAAAGCCGCCCAGCTTTCGTGAAAGCCGCCCGGCTTTCATCATTCTGCCCAGAAGTTTGCTTTTGATCGGTTTAGAACGAGGGTTGATCGGAGGGCTTAACAAGGACAACTATTTCAGCACTTCATAAGGTGAGGATGGTTGACTATATTGCTTATAATCTTTGGGTTAATTTCATGAGATTACCTAAGGTAATTAAATATGTTTTTAAGGATTATTAATGATTAATAATGCCTAAGAATGAGAAGACTATTGTCTATAAGGAAAAGAGCATAATATACAAATTTGTAAGAGATTGTGTATGATTATGTGATATGAAAGAAATGGTATGGTAATGGAACTAACTATGAAAATTGTGATAAAATATACTTTTACTTCATGTATGAAATTCATGAATGGATAAAAGTGATATTTTTGATATTGGGATTAAATCATATTTGGATTGGAAAATCAATTGAGATAAACTATTTGGTTATGAATTTAGAACTTGGTTGTTCTAAGGTTATTCGACTAGTATCGAAATACTAGTCAGGAGATTTATATAAATAAATGATGGAATTAATCCTAAGAGATAGGATTGTGAATAGATATGCCTTAAGTAGTCTTAAGAGATGCTTTAAGGTCGAATTGTATGAACACTAAGGTGTGTTAGGGGTAGGCCTAAAGGCTATCCAAGTGAATTGATTCTAGGCATAGGATTTGCTTGAGAATTGAGCTATGAAAATAAATTAGAGTCAGACTCTAGGATTACATGGAAATGTAGTTGGGCCGAGCCCTTGCCATGTAACGTGATTAGCATGGAAACGTAGTTGGGCCGAGCCCTTGCCATGCATTGTGATCTTCATGGAAACGTAGTTGGGCCGAGCCCTTGCCATGAAGTTATGGTTGGTATGGAAACGTAGTTGGGCCGAGCCCTTGCCATACAAATTTAGATATATTAAATTGAGTTAAAGGATTGTATAGAAATGTAGTTGGGCCGAGCCCTTGCTATACAATCGGGACTCGAGGGAACCCTATGGGGTTGTCGTGACTCATGGTCACGGAAAGTGAAAATGGTAAATTCTAAATGAATATGGGCCCACGGGCCGACTACTTGACTTTATATAAAGTAAGTATATTTATAAAACAGGGTAACCGGGGGTTACGGCCTACGATATAATATCACTCTATTTGAGGGTCTTAAGAAATTGAAACATTGATTATACTTAGTATAGTTGTCATTGTACTTGTCAAATGCTTCCAAGTACTGACCTCCCCTTCACGGGGGAGGCCACCTCACAGTTTCAGGTAGAACTTGAAGAGTTGCTGCCACCCCCCGTTGCTTCAGGGAGATCAAGGGAAGGAGACGTGGTTCGTGCTTCTTCCGTTTCTGCTTTGAAAACAATCTAAATAATGCTCATGGATATTATTTTTGAATAATCATTCGGGGGCTTGTATGCCCATGTTTGCCGAGTGTGGCATAAACACTTGTATTAATGTTTCCGCTGCTTAAATGAATATTTTACATTATGCTTGTTTATGGATGTACTATGTGTGAATGGTATTCAAGACGCCTTGTATAGTATGGATGAGTCGGACTGCGGTTGACTATTCGTACTGTACGGCGGGTTGTTGACGTGTCCGGATAGGCCCGGGGCGTGACAAACAGAGTACTGACATCCAAACACCCACAAAGGGTTCCGCACCCGGACGGGTAGTCAGCAAGTGGGAGCCGCATTTAATGTTGAAGTATGGCAATAGGAAGTAGAGGCATGGGTGCAAGGCGGCAGCCAACCGGGTTCAGCCACGTCACCATCCCACCTACCCCTTCTTAGTATAAATATCTGCATTGAATACATTGTAAAGGGTTAGCAATTTCATACTCAGAGCTTAACAATAGAATCATCTCTCTTGTTCTTGTATTTGAACTCATAGCGACAGACCATTCGGGTAGTTTCTTTGTAATCACAAAATTACGTAATACAAGTTAGCTTCTGAGTTCATTTATAATTCACTATTTTATATTTTATACACCTTTTAACCAAGACAAACTTTCTTAATATCCAAAGCGTATGTTGGGCTTTTGGGTCTACGAGACTAAACCTCAACAGGAGTAAACATTAATTTTTTTACCCCTAATACTCCTATTGTAATTAATTATCCCCCTAGTTCCCTTGGGCAACAAGGGCAGTCCGTCGGTGGCGGGGCAGGGCGTTGGTAGCGGCGACAGTCCGGTGGTGGCAGACGGCGGCGGGCGGCGGGCGGCGGTGGAGCTCTGGTGACCGGCTGAAACCTTTATTCTAATTAATTATTGCCCCCTAGTCCCCTTGGGCAACCAAGGCAGTTCGTTGGTAGCGGGGCAGTCCAATGGGCGCGACAGAAGATTCCGAAGGCGGTGGCGACGCTCGGCGCAGAAATGCTGGGAAAAATCCAGGGAAAAAACCTGGGAAATATTCCGGCGGTGGTTGCCGGAGCTCCGACGGCGGTACTGTAGCAGCAACGGGCAACAACAGGCAGGGGATTTACATAGGTCCATTTACAAAAAAATACGCCTATTTTGAGGATTTTAAAACTCTACACCTATTTTTGCATAGATCCTATGTTTTACTCCTATTTTGGTAATCGCCCCAAAAACATACTCCCTCCGTCCCAATTTATTTTGCAAAGTCAACATTTTTTGGTCAATCAATAATACAAGTCAATCCTTCATATGAATTATTAATTCAATTTTTAATAATAAAAATTTACATATTCATAAACTACATTACAATCACTTCAGAGTTATAAACTCCAAATTAGATTATAATTAAAAATTGACATCCTAATTCAATGAACAAAAAGAAATGACTAAGAAAAGTCAAATTTTCAAATAATTTGGAAAGGTTGCTTAAAACCCATACTCGCGCACCAGGTTTTGTTCAATCCTGTTTCTGCTCCAAGGAAACCAAAATATTTCTTCTGTCACTCGGTCACTCTGCGGCGGAGCGGATTGCCTTCCACTGTTGCCCTATCAGGTACCTATTTTGCTCCTACCTCGACATTTTCGACAGCTTAGTCGGTGTTCCGATTGTCCACTTCGATTTGATTGTTTCCTTTTGAAATTCCGCCAAATACACATTTATACATTTTAGGTACGTGTGTGTGTGTTTACAACGCACAGTTTTAAGTTTCTCTATGCTATGACTATTAGTTAAAGGATTGTGATGCACTTTTAAGTAATGGAGTGTCAAATACTGTTGAGCGCAAATACTGCGGTTCAGCGGCAGTTTTTTTTTTTTTTTTTGAAATAAGGAGCACACATTTTTAGGAAATTACTAAAAATGGTAACATGAAACGTTGAGTTTAATATGTCATGTTATCGTCAAGTTATTGTGTGATGTGCTTGTTAGCATTTCATGCTGAGCTCCTGACAAAGGTAAACCATTATGGAAGCAAAAACATCTTTATGTTTTTAAAATTCTACTTTATTTGGAGCTTAGATTATGCTACGCTGTCATCCTCTTGGAGGTATGACTGTATGACAGTGATGAACATAGCAAGCTTATTTACTTAGATTACCTTTTCTAGGTGCTGTTCTGTGCAAGCTATCTCTTTACGTCTTAGCAATGATTTAGCAGGGAAAGGTCTTATCTGCTCTGAACGCTCTAAGATGACCCACACAAGCAAAGGAGAGGCCAACAAAGGTGTTCAAAGGGAACACTTGTTCCGTAAAGAGAAAAAGGTGACACTTAGGAAGGATGGAACTGCAGCTTTAGTGATAATGCCAGTCACCGTTGTGTTATCCTTTGTTTATACCTGAACATAATATTTAATAATTTGTGTCCATAGTCCATACCATAATTGTTGATTGCAGAAAAGTGCAAAGCAGCAAATTGATGCAACCTTGGAAGAAATTTACAATGAACGTTATGAGTTAAGCGATGAAGATGATGATAGTGACTGGGATCCTTTAGAGAAACAAGTTAAGGCCGTGAAGTGGTTTTGTATCAACTGCACCATGGTTAACCTCAGTAATGTTGTCCATTGCTATGTATGCTTCTATGTTCCATGTTGATCTTTTCCAATATGCAAATGCAATTTCATTTCATATTCATGACTTTTGAAGATCCACAATATATGATATCTGCTGATATGCAGGCCTGTGGAGAGCACAAGGGTTCTGGAATAGTTAGTTTGGGATGTTTTGCCTCACCACTCATGCCAGAGGGAGATATTGCAGCACTTGAGTTAGATGCTACTGAGAAACCCAAAGGTTGTGGCCTGTAATTTGCGACTTTCCTGCGCAATTATTTTCCTTCATAATTTTTTTTCTTCCTGCAAAATGAAATATTATAGAACATTTATCAAAATCTATAGTTCCCTGGTTTAGTATCTAAGGGCTGTTCAATCTCGAGCCAAATACAGTTGAACTTATTGTTTCACTTTCTAGGATCACTTATATAGTCTATTCATCCATGAAGAAGGTAAAACATGTTCTTGTGAAATTAAAGTTTTGTTCAGCAATTTTAGCAACTAGAATATTAAGTGTTTGTTCTTTTTTTCATAGGTCCATTATAATAATAAAACATGGCGCAACTTTTTATTTGCTATGGCTAAGGATTTGGTACTTGGCACTGACATCAAGTATTGTTTAATTATTTTTAGCAAATTTTAACGTTTCTAGGTTCATTCCAGAAAGGGTTTCCATCGGACTCCACCATGGTTGGGTTTGATGAGAGGATGCTGCTCCATGATGAAGTATGCTTCTATCTATGGCAGTTATTTATATTTCCCTGGAACTTGTGTCTTGTGGTCAGACTGAACTTTATTTTTTAATTGGGTCTGTAGTCCTAAAATGAAATAATACTAAAAAGGAAAAAAAGATCTGGACAATTTGTGTTTTTCATATTTTCTCCTTTCTGTAGTAATGATGATTTGTGTAGACATAGTCATATTAATGTAGTCAGTTTTTCCACACTTCAATTCCCAGGATGCGAATTCTAAGATTACACCCTGAATCTTCCCTCTATCTTTTAGCTGAAATCAATGTACTTATTATCTGATTGAAAGGTTGAAATGAAGTCTCATCCTCACCCCGAGAGACCAGATCGTCTTCGAGCTATTGCCGCTAGTCTTGCTAGTGCAGGTGTGCCTTAACGTTTTAATCAACTTAGACATCACAGATGAGTGATTGGTGTGCATGTTTTCTAAATTTTTATATGTTCACACACATCTAAATTTCTAAGTTGTTCATTTTCATGGTATGATGTTTATATTTTCATCAATATTTGAAGGTATATTTCCTGGGAAGTGTTATCCAATTGCAGCAAGAGAAATTACAAGGAAGGAACTTCAGATGGTAAGATTATGACAAAAGTCTCTTCTAAAAAATTAGAAGCTCTAGGTCCTGTCTGGTCATCATATTATTTGAAATTTAATTTTTTCCTTGTTAAAAAATGTATGGTCATAATTAGATGTTGGGACTTGGGAGATAGAGTTTCTTATATTGAGAAAAGAGCTATACTTTCCCAGGTCATGATTCTATTATGCTTTGGGGAATATAGGTACATGCTTTGGAGAATATTGAAGCTGTAGAATTTACAAGTCGCCTGCATGCCAGGTATGTTAAGTTTTTTCCCATTTATTCACACTCTTTTTATTCGTGATGTTTTTCCCATTAAGTCACGCTCTTTCTATTCTTGCAACGGTAACTTGCAAGCAAGGAGTCAATAACGTTTACATGGTTCAGAGTGAGCAATGCTATACAGCTTCTTTCAATATCTTCTAATGGAATAATTTTTAAATTGCAGTTATTTTACTCCCGATACTTATGCAAATGAATATTCAGCATGTGCTGCCAGACTTGCCGCAGGCTTATGTGCTGATCTTGCTTCAACAATCTTCTCTGGCCGTGCTAAAAATGGTTTTGCTTTGGTAAAAGCTCTGATTGCTCGTTGGTAATTCTAAATTGGATGACAATATGAAAAAGGCACTTAATTCATTCCCTGACAAAAATTGAGTTAGGTTCGCCCTCCTGGCCACCATGCCGGCGTAAAACAAGCCATGGGATTCTGTCTCCTTAATAATGCAGCTGTTGCAGCATTTGCAGCTCAGGCCGCAGGAGCAAAGAGGGTTTTAATAGTTGACTGGGTAATGATGTTAAGTATGTTGTTTCATGCTGAAATATAACTATTATTTATGAATGAAAGGATCGTAATGTGATCCCCTGTATTTTAGTGACTCTTTCTTCCTCGCATGGTTTGTAGGATGTACATCATGGAAATGGAACACAAGAAATATTTGAAAGAAGCAAATCAGTGAGTATTTATTTTTCTATAATAAATTTCTCTTGGTAATTTGTTGAGGAATAAGTTAAAGTCAGTGAGGAACATCTTACTTTTGTTATCAATAATTTGCTATTTGCTATTTCTGCCGTATAAATGTATAATAAAAGGTGAGATAAATAACAGATTCATAATGTTTTAAATGATTTTATTAATCATTACATGAGAGGTCTAGTTTATTGTTAGAAACATCCATTCTCAATGATGTGCACTATCAGTTATATAGTCTGTTCACTATAATGAGTATCTTCTGTTTGTTCTATCATTTGCTATGATATTTTTTTTTGTATTACTCCGTATATTATTATGTAGCTTTACTGTCAATTTTAATTCTGTGGATTTGTACCAGGTTCTCTACATATCTTTACACAGACACGAGGGTGGGAAATTTTACCCTGGTACCGGAGCTGCTAAAGAGGTATACAATAAATCCTTTCTATGCATAGCAACATCAATTATATTATTTAACAAGTGTTAGATGATGAGTGAATTATGTGATTCAGTGATCTACTTATGTGTAGCAACTTTAGATCATGCTCCTGCGTTGCAGGTTGGCTCCATGGGTGCAGAAGGATACTGTGTGAATATTCCATGGAGCCGGGGTGGAGTTGGTGACAATGATTATGTATTTGCATTTCAAAATATTGTGCTTCCTATAGGTTTGTATCACTTCTCTTTTTGAATACTTCCTCTGTTCGGAAAAGAATGCAACATACAAACGGGCACAGAGATTAAGAAACTCAGTCATAGACATTTTCTTCCTATCTTACCCTCCCTTTTCTGAACTCTTGTCTGACGAATGCTGGCACCGTCTCTTTCCTTTAATTTCCCAAAATTTTCATCACCATTAATTCATTTTAAATCCTCCCTGTGTTGCTTACCTTCTTCGTCGTTTTCATAAGTAGACCAAGAACTAGAGTACAGCTAAGTTAATTATTTTACTTTCAATTTCTGATTTCTTTAATTCCATAATCTAGATTATGAATCTCCCTAAAAAACGTACTGTAACTATGTCTTTTTAAAATCCTTCAAAGAAGTGAACCATGCTCACACATTTTTGTTATGCTGTTAAGGATTTTAGAGTAGATCTCCAAAGAAAGCCAAACATATGAAAAAAAAGAAGGTAGTGGAGGAAAGAAACACAAATGTGTGTGCATGGTTCACTTCTTTGAAGGATTTTAAAAAGACATAGTTACAGTACGTTTTTTAGGGAGATTCATAATCTAGATTATGGAATTAAAGAAATCAGTGGAGGAAAGAAACAAAAGAAGAAAAACGAGTGAAAAAACAGTGAGATTGGGAGATACAGTGATGGAAATGACGAAGGGTGAAGGTGGAAGGGAAGAAATGAGAAACTGAAAAAGAAAAAACATAGATGAACATATGGGTATTGACTGTTGAGTGGTGCATATAGCATGTGGTGACTAGTGAAATCATAATATTCGGTGAGAGAGTGAGGATATTGATTTGGGGTGAAAGGGTATTATAGTCATTGTAGTTATTTAATATTACCATAAATGGAAGTGTTGCAATTATTTTAAAACTGCCAAAAGAGGAAAGTGTTGCATTTAATTAAGAACGGATGAAGTATATAACTGAAGAGACATTATTACCTGACATTAATGACTAACCTGAGAGTATTTCCATTTACGATTTTTCATTCACCATGTATTTATGTAGCAGAGGAGTGAAGGACTTAGGAAACTGATGATAGTTGTGAGGATTTATATGATATTCCCTATTTATATTGAATCTATACATCTAAAAGTTCAGACATTTAAAATGTCATTTCTTAATATCTTTTTGCATGTTTTGTACTCCTCTGTCCCGTAAAACTTTGCCACGTTTCAATATCATGGTCAATTATGTTAAACTTTGACCAATTATATATTTTTATAGGGAATAATTTATATTATGAAAATGATATGGAAATGCTCTTTGTTTTTTTGGCCATTCCTTTCTAACCTATATAGTATCTGCTCAATGTTAATGCCAACATCCTTGAACTGGGATGGGATTCGAACTTGTGACCTCCTCTTTGGGAGTGCCACAGTGATGCCATCAGACCACAAGGTACTTGGCTGGAAATGCTCTTTGTTAAAAATACTTCCATAAAGTTATTAAATTTGTAACTTCCAAAATATTATACAATATATACTAATCAAAATAATTGTCCAAACTTTACCACCATTGACTTGAAAAGTCAAAGATGACAAAGTTTTAAGGGATAGTGGTAGTAATATTTATGGGTTTATGTGATATTTATATCATGCTTTACATAAGTTACATGTGATTTATAGTTTTTATTTTATTTTAGATTTTATTTACTATTATGCTTACCCTAATTTTAAGAGATGCTATTGGTTTATGCACTTAATGGCAGCCTCTGAGTTCGCTCCAGATTTCACTATTATTTCAGCAGGATTTGATGCTGCAAGGGGTGATCCCCTTGGTTGTTGTGATGTAAGTGGCGTCTTCTTGCATCTCACTCACTCATTTAATTTTCCTTTTGTTGTGTTGTCATTTGAATTTTAATCCTAATTATATGTGACCCTTTGTAGGTGACTCCCGCTGGTTATGCATTGATGACACAAATGTTGAGTCCTTTATCGGGAGGAAAATTACTTGTCATCCTAGAAGGAGGGTCAGTCTGTCCTGTCCGTGCTAGTTATTTTTTGTTGCAGCCAAGGTAGTAAAAGTCGTGAGGCGCACTCAAGGTGATAGGGTATTCCCAGCGCCTGAGGCGCAAGGTGCAAAAAAGCGCTCGCCTGACTCATGTCAGGCGCATTGCTTAGAAAGTATCACATATACTATTCTTCAATAATAAAACATGATGTATATAACACCATATTGAACTAACTACATAAAAAAGTCAGGTTTCTCACAAATAAAGTCATGTTTCATCAAAATAAAGTCATGATTAACCAAAATGAGGTCATGATTCACAAAAGCAAAACAACCAAAATTAGAATTCATAACTTAAAGTCTTAAACTTTCAAACTGAAAAATAAAACATAATTAGATTTTAGGTATCTAGGGTAATAGAGTATAAACTATATAAAAGGATGCTGAAAAAGTAAAGAAGAAAGAAAATGGCACAATGAAGAGTGTTAATGCACATGATAGACCATTATATTGGTAGTTTACATATATATGTTTAAGTTGTATAGAGTGTATAAGAAGTAGATACTGAAAAAAGAAAAAAAATGGAACGATGGAGAAGAAAGCTTACTGCTGCCAACTTCTGCAGTTGATGTGGAGGACAGGAGGAGGGCAAACAGGTAACTTGAGTAGAGCAGAACAGGTTTACGGTTTGTTTAGTGTAGGTATATGTTGTTTTGACCTTATTTAGACGAGGTTTATTAAAAATATGGGCTTCTTATTTGACGACATGTCTGAACTTAAAAAAACGCGTTCCCCAATCAGGCGCAAATAGCGAGCGTTTTTTATCGCAGTTGCGCTTTGGCGCTTTTGCGCCTAAGCTGCGCCTTAGGCAGTTGGGTGCGCCTGATCGTTCTTTGTTCTTCAAGCGCTGGGGCTTCTGTGCGCTGCGCCTGGTGCGCTTAAGCGCCCAGGCGCTCGACTTTGACTACCTTGGTTGCAGCAGTGATTCCTCAATATTAAATGACATGTGGATGTCTTTTTCAGGTATAATCTTCGATCAATATCATCTTCAGCTACATCAGTGATTAAGGTATGCTTTGCCTACCATGACCGAAGACACTTCAGCTAGAACACACACACATACACATAAGTATACATATACATATACCTATACAGAGAATACACCATATATGGACTTCCACATAGCTATTTGTCCGGACCATTTTCGATCGCATTGCCCATATTAAAAAAGAGTACTCATATTATTCATATTATTCTACACTTATTATCCTTTCTCACTCTCACTCTCACCCAAAGCTCTTTTCCTCTTACTTATTTGAAGCTCTGCACTCTCATTTATATAACTTCCTTTACTTCCAATCTCTCCGCCTCCTTTCCATAAGGGTTTTATAGTAAGCTTGAGTTGCAATATAAGGGCATGGCAAATCACTAAGACAACACTTGAAGAGAGTTTGCTCAAATTAAACATTCAAATGCCTCTTCAACAGGGGAGTATTAATATAGTCTTGAAGACATTAATTTGTTCGTATGTTTTTATGTTATATTTATCTTATCCATCTTATCTTACCTTAATTTTTTATTTTTCTTATCTTCTCTTTTTGGCTCTGATATCATGGATCGATTTATGTTAGCCGACCCCAAAATCTTTTGGGAATAAGGCTTGGATGTTGTTGTAGACATTAATTGATTGTTTGTATTAATGTAAATTTTCTTGTAACCCTGAAAGCCAAAAGTTCACTAAAACATACTGTTCTTACGAGTTCTTCCATCAGATTTTTTCATTTCATATATGTCAAGTGATATCGCTCAAATTATTACCTTCATTTTCGTTCAAAATCTCGTGTGGTTGCATGCATGGTTTTAAAAGGCGTTTAGCCTTTACGCCCCTGAGGCGCAAAAGCGCAAAGACGCTGTTCAATCGCACGTAAGGCTTAAGCCTTCCATTCCCGTAACAAGGCTTACGCCCTTTTTTCCTGATGCGTAGAATTGGGCGGTAAGCGCAAGGCTTAGACGAGGCGTACGCCTCTAATTAGAAGCAGGTTGGGCTTATTTTTTCTAATTATTATTGGGGGCCTCGAATTTGTCATCATCCTAAGTATAAAATACAAAAATCCTGGGTTGCTCGTTATCACCTCGCACATCGCTGCTATTCCAGTCGAAGAGGCGCTGTCTCAGTCAGAGTTCCAGTACATACTACAGAGGGGAAGGACTTCCGAGCTGCTTTTGTGCTTCGTCCAGAACTCCATGTAGTTACTCGTATAAAATATCCCACCACCTAGTTTCTTATTGTGTATTTTCTTTTGTTCTTTAAGTTTTTTATTCAAGTGTTTGGCTATTTAAAATTTCAGTTTTGAAGTACGAAGTATTTAATATTTATTCTACCACAATATCAGGCTACAGTTCAATCTTTGTCCGTTTTTAGTTAAGTTTTGAAACATTTAATTAAGTTTTTGAGTTTTTTATTTAGGTTTTTTAGTTATTTAAAAGTTTCAGTTTTGTGTTTCTGATCTTTGCCTGTTTAATATTATTACTGTATATATTATTAGCCTAAAGTTTAAATTTTAAAGTTATCATATAAAACTATCACTTAGCTTAGTAATTTATTTGTTTAATATTACGTACTTTACTAGTTTACTACTCCGTACTTTACCTGGCTCAAGATAATTTAATTTAATTAGAAACAAGATTTTGTCTATACGAAATGATATGTTGTAGGCTTGTAGCAACATGTAAGCAATTAATTTTGAGGCTTACGCCTCGTTACGCCTCGAGGCTTATGCCTCGGGAGGCTATCACCGAACGCCTCGAGGCCCGATTTCGCCTTTCAAAACCTTGGTTGCATGTAATATGCTAATTTCATGCAATTCCTTTTGTCTCTTGATTCCTCGAGTTTAATTTCCTTGATGCTAAGGCAGAGAGAGAGAGTCTACAGCTAGAAAGGATTTGACAGACACGACGGGTGAGTGAAAGGAGAAAGATTTACCTAAGAGAGCATTATGTGGAGGGAAGAAGACAACCAAAGTGGAGAGACCAACAAAAACGAAATACGATTTTTTTAATCTGGACCTCCAACTTTAAATCAAAATATGAATATCGCTATAGCTAGGTCGTTGCCCGTAAGCGACACGTCATCCCTTCGCCTTGGGGTGGTGTCAAATATGCAAAGGCGCGCTACTCTTCGGTGTTCATTGTCTTTCAGTATCCTCATGGATATGTATGTGGCTTGTACTACAAGTGTCCGTACTAGTGTAGGGAGGACCGCATAGTTCCCTATCACTATCAGAGTTCAGCAAGGACGACTCTGAGGCTTTTCTTATTTGCTATAGTGATGGATGAACTTACGAAGTCAATTCAAGAAGATATACAGTGGTGAATGATGTTTTCCGGCGATATTGATGAGACACTATCGGGTGTTAAAGCAAAGTTGGAAGTATGACGACAAACATTGGAGACCAAGGGTTTAAGACTGAGCCAAATCAAGATTGAGTATATGAAGTGCAAGTTTGGTGGAGTTAGATGTAGTAGTAACAGTGGGATTACTCTTGATGGTAAGGAGATACCAGGGTGTGATATGTTTTGTTATTTGGGCTCCATAATTCAAATGGATGGTGAATTATGGAGATGTATCCCATAGAATCAAAGCTGGATGGATGAAATCGAAGAGTGCTTCAGGATTTCTATGCGATCGAGGTATGCCGAAAAGATTGAAGAGTAATTTTATCGAACAACAATTCGGCCTGCATTAATGTATGGTGTAGAGTGTTGGGTGGTAAAACAAGCTCACATCCAAAAAATGAGTGTGGCAGAGATGCGGATGTTGCGTTGGATGTGTGAAAATACTAGGAAAGACCGATTGAGGAATGATATAATGAGACAAAAGGTGAGGATGATACCTATAAAAGATAAGATGCAGGAGTCTCGATTGCGGTGGTTTGATCATGTGCACATATGACCGAGTGATGCACCTGCTAGACGACTTGAGATGTGGGGAGAAGAGGCGGGGAGGAAAGGGAGAGGAAGACCCAAACAAACTTGGATAAGAAGAATCAGAACTGATATGCGTCTTCTTGGGTGGGATGAGAGTATAACTTTGGAGACAGCAAGGTGAAGGTCGCACATTCGTGTGAACGATTGATCTCTTTTCTATCTTTTCTCTCTCCTTTTTCTTTTATCGTTTATCTTCTTTATCTTTCTATATTCTTTTGTTATTTTTATCTTGTATCTCTCTTATGCTCTTTTATGTTTTTAACTTGTATCTTTTTTTTTGGGAAAACTGTCAAATAGGTCCTCGAACTTTCATAAAAAGGTCAATTAAGTCCTTCTATAGGAGGTTCTGTCCGGCCGTCGCGATTTGGAGCAGTTCCCGGTGGAATTTTTTGATGAAATTTTTTGAGCATCTTATTCACCAAGTCTAGTTTACTCATACCAAATTTAAGCTAAAAATTCAATCGGGAACACATTCAAATTAATTCTTGAAGATAACTGCGCATTTTTGCGTTCTCGAATTAATTTGAATGCGCTCCCGATTAAATTTTTAGCTGAAATTCGGTATGAGTAAACTAGACTTGATGAATAAGATGCTCAAAAAATTTCATCAAAAAATTCCACCGGGAACCGCCCCAAATCGCGACGACCGGACAGAGTGTCGTATAGAAGGACTTAATTGACTTTTTTATGAAAGTTCGAGGACCTATTTGACAGTTTTCCCTTTTTTTTTAACTCCAGGGGGGTCTGGGGGAGGGGGGCTGGGGGGAGCCTGGAGTAATCAGGGCTGAAACTCACTCCATTGAGTTTCAAACCCTTGTGTGCCTAGCGGGATTCGAACTCGAGACCTCCCACTAAGCACGGTAACCTCGCAACCAGCTAGGCTGAAGTGCTTGGTTTAACTTGTATCTTTCTTAGGTTCTTATGTTATTGTTATCTTATACTACCTCCGTCCCATAATGGTTGTCCTCTTTCATTTTGGTAAGATTATTAATAAAATAGTTGAAAAGTAAAAGTTGTGGTTGAAATTTGAGTAGAATAAAGTAAAATGATAAGGACCACATATTTCATGCTAAAAAAGGAAAGATGACATTCATTTTGGGACAACTCAAAAAGGAAAGTAGGACAACCAAAATGGGACGGAGGGAGTATTTATCTTTATCTTATCAGATTAATCATACTTTTTTTATTCTTCTTTCTTCTCTTGGCTCTGATATCATGGATCGATTCATGTTAGCCGACCCCAAAATCTTTTAGGATTAAGACTTAGTTGTTGTTGTGGGACTGCCAGCTTTAGAACATATACACTTATATACATACAAATGCGCGCGCACACACATATATATACACACCACACACACATAGAGAGAGCGTACTATGGAGGGAACTCGGGAAGAAGACAGCTAAAGTGGGGAGACCAACAAAAAATGAAATAAGATTTTATTTAATATGGAGCATCAACGTTACTACACACACACCTATACACAAATACATATACATAAAACACACATGCATGCACTCACACATAGAGAGAGAGGGAGGGAGGGAGAGAAGGGGAGGGAGGAAGGGAGGAGGGGGAGGGGGAGGGAGATGGAGATAGAGAGGAATCATATCAGTCCATATTTTTTCATTCATTAGCGTCAGTTAGTAATTTTAACCTTTTGATCATGTCACAAATTCAATTCTATCTATGATAGCACCCTTATTAATCTTAACCATAATTAGCTTTAACTGTTAGGTAAAGTCTAAAGTTGAAAAACTAAGTTTTTAGGGTCTTTCTTTGAACAAATTTAAGATCCAAATGAAAGTTGGCCAAATATGACTTGCTTGTAGGATAATAAAGTAAAATTTGTGTGGTTGAGGTTGATGTAGTGGAAAGAGAAATAACATTAACCACAAATGTGTTACTTTATAAGGAAATGGCAGTTTTTTGAGACCTAAGTAAGGAAAGTTGACAAAGTTTGGACTGTAGTCGTAGACAGTAGAATTGTATATTACCCAAAAATGGTTTACCTTGACAGATCCCATCAGGTGCGCCTGAGGAGAATACAACTCTCTCTGTATGCACGCACACACACAACATATTATGGATCAAATTTTGTGCATTGACGGAAAGCGTCCTTTATTAATATCATGCTTGTGTGGTGCAAAAGTTCAGCTCTAGTTCAGTGTTTGTCATGTGTGACTTGTGGGGTCATTTTGTGTGTTATAGGGTCAGTGGAGCTTTCCCACTTGAATGGTTTGACATACTATTCTACCTCAGGAGGAAGAATATTTTTTACTGTTATTTTTGGTTTAATGTTTTTGAGTAGTTTTGAAATCATTACGCAGGAGTTTATCGTGTCAATTTTGCATAATTATGGAGTAACACTTGGAAACCTAATTGTAAATTATGTTTTTTCTCTTTAAAATGCTTGGTGCTTTTCTAATTTAGACCTCCATTATCAGGTCTTACTAGGTGAAAGTCCAGAAACAGACCTGGATCGTTTTATACCTTCAAAGTCCTGTTTAAGAACCATAATGGAGGTACTCAAAATACAGATGAGCTATTGGCCAATAAAGTTCCACTTCGACAAGCTGTTGTCACAATGGGGAATGCAAGCTTTTAAGAACACAAGTGAGTATGCATCTAGTACAGGGCATCTTTATCGATATTTCCTATTCTGAACTTTCTTAGAGCTTGTTGATGAGATTAAATTTGGTTGATATGGCTGATCTGAAATTACAGAAAAGGACTATGGGGGTGTTTGGATCTGATTCTCAAAACTGATTCTGCTCCTTCAGGGAGCAGAAGCTGGAGTGTTTGGCTGAAATTCCAGAAGCACTTCTGGTGCTCCAATTTACTCTTAGAACCAGTTTTTTTAGAAGCTGGTAGGTACCAGCTTCTTAAAACTGATTCTGATTTTGCTTCTGCTTTATAAAAGAAGCAGAAGCAGAATCAGTTCCAAACACCCCCTATGGACTAAACTATATTAAAATGTATTTAAAGTATATTTTCTCAATAATTAAATCAGGTGATACATTTTATAGGCTAGAAGTATCATTTCCTTTCATTTCAGCTATTTCATTAAAATATAAACTTCTGCACTATTTTATCAATAAGTTCAGTTATCACATTAAAAGAATTATTTTCCAAGAAAGATTTTAACAGGGTAGAAAACAAAACCTCAATAATAACAAACTAAAGGAACAAGTAATGTGCGCATGTCTCATGGATATGGCCCCTTATTGCTGAAGTCAGTGCTTAGTACTTACTCTACATAGGAAATGAGTAAATGATTGCAGCAGTTATGCTTGATAGTGAGAGCTATGTGTGTTTCAGCACGTTCAAGGATAAGCACTGGATCTCTCTCTCTCTCTCTCTCTCTCTCTCTCTCTCTCTCTCTCTCTCTCTCGTGAGCAGTAAACTCATCAACTAGTTCCTTATTTCATTGAGTGCGTCAAAGTCTTCAAAAAATCAAGTAGAAGTTCTTTGAATGTCTATATGGAATTTGGGCACACCTTTTTATAATTCTTTTTTGCAAGAAATCCTAATGAGAGTGCAAGTACTTTTGGGCATTTGCAACTGGTACTTGATCTTTATTCTACCATGTGGCTTCATCACCACATTTCGACATGATGGGAGTTAGAGACTGGTTTTGTTCTACCATTACACTTTTCTAGGAGATTCGTATGAAAAGGTGTGTCAAGGCTTTGTCTAGCTTTGATCAAATTTTTCTTGATTTAGTCGACCAGGCTTCCTTAGTGGGATGTGTCTTTTGCCAACTGACTCAATGCTCTAGTCAACCATAGGATCGATAGGCCCAGACTTGCTATATAGATTCTTATGATTCTTAGAGACCACAGTGAAGAGACAAAATACAAAGTCAGCAAGAGAAAGTATTCTTTACGAATGATGAAAATGTGCTTGCTCCACACAGAGAGCCTCAAAGCCATGAGGCCTAACTTTGGTTGCTCCACCTTCCGTGGCCTCGTCACTCATCTATCAGTTTGGTAGAGGCTAAGCTCTAAGTTGACATACTAATTTGTTTGACAACTAGGCACGTCGATCAACTAGTGGCTAGCTTCCCACTCGGGCAATCTAGGGATACCGACTGTCATAGTAGGTTGCCTACTCTAGTGTTTAAGAACCCATAGTGGGCATAGTTTGAGCTTTGACCAAGGTTTAGGGTTGAGGGAATCGACCTAGTAATTAACCCTAGACAATTTGTTTTTGGCCAATACTCCAACAATAGTAAATACGGAGTACGTATTAGCACTTTAACTAAATCATGGTGCACAGACTATACATATAAATGATTGCAGCGCTAACGCTCTAGGTAGGGAACTGGGGTCCCTCACTCTCAGAGTGTCGGATATTAATCCTTTAGGGACAAAATCTTGCAGAAAATGTTATGATGAGTAGCATTCTATATTATACCTTGTGAACAAGTATTATTATATTTCATATACTTGATGATAAAATACTATACAAGAAGCTATATTTATAGCTATATTTAGAGTACTAGGGTTTCCTATACAAATGGGCTAAGCCCAATACTACTAGGGTTTCCACACTCCCCCTCAAGCTGGAGCATATAGATCATATGTACCAAGCTTGTTACAAATATATTCCACTCTAGGACCTCTAAGAGACTTAGTTAAAATATCTGCTAGTTGTTCAGTTGTCTTCACATATTTTGTGATGATATGTCCACTCGTGATCTTCTCTCGGATAAAATGACAATCAACTTCAATGTGTTTTGTCCTCTCATGATATACCGGATTTGATGCGATGTGCATTGCAGCTTGATTATCACACATGAGTTGAACCGGTTTTGTGTTCCCATATTTTAACTCTTGGAGAAGATGCTTCAACCATAAGATTTCACATGTAGCAAGGGCCATTGCACGATATTCTGCTTCAGCACTAGATCTGGCAACCACATCTTGTTTCTTACTTTTCCATGAAATTAAGTTTCCACCAATCAAGATGCAATATCCCGAAGTGGAACGTCTATCCATAGGACATCCGGCCCAGTCTGCATCACAATATCCCACAATATCATGGTGGCCTCGATCTTCAAACAACAACCCTTGCCCTGGAGTTTTCTTGATGTATCTTAAAACTCGGATAGCTGCATCCCAGTGTCCAGTACATGGCTTATCAAGAAACTGACTAAGAACACTTACCGCAAATGAAAGATCTGGTCTTGTGATGGTAAGATAATTCAATCTGCCGATGAGTCTTCTATATTTTTCCTTGTTGGGCAAAAGATCTCCCTGTTCTGATAATAGTTTAACGTTCGGATCCATTGGTGTATCCACCGGCCTGCAATCTAGCAATCCTGTTTCCTCAAGAATATCCAAGGCATACTTTCTTTGTGAGAGAGCAATTCCATCTTGAGACTGTGCAACCTCAATGCCAAGGAAGTATCTCAACTTTCCTAAGTCTTTTGTTTGAAATTTGCTAAAGAGATGTTGCTTGAGGAGCGCAATTCCTTGATCATCGCTACCTGTAATGACAATGTCATCAACATACACAACAAGATAAATACATTTGTTGCCAGCAGAATGTCTGTAGAATATAGAGTGATCGACATCACTGCGAATCATGCCAAAGCTGCAGACAACGTCACTAAACCTCCCAAACCATGCACGTGGAGATTGCTTCAAGCCATATAATGAACGACGTAATCTGCACACCATACCAGACTCCCCCTGAGCAACAAATCCAGGTGGTTGCTCCATATAAACTTCCTCGTGCAGATCTCCGTGAAGGAATGCGTTTTTAATATCCAATTGGAACAATGGCCAGCGGCTCATTGCTGCCATGGATAAAACCAAACGAACTGATGCAATCTTTGCTACAGGAGAAAAAGTGTCAGTGTAATCCAAACCATATATTTGAGTATACCCTTTTGCCACAAGACGTGCTTTAAAACGATCAATCTTCCCATCAGGCCCAACTTTAACTGTGTAAATCCACCGACATCCCACCACTGATTTTCCAGTGGGAAGGGGGACTAAGTCCCACGTCCCACTAGAATGAAGAGCCTCCATCTCAGCCAACATGGCTTTACGCCACTCTGGGTGTGCCAGTGCCTCATGTGTGGTTTTAGGAATGCATATATGAGACAGGTGGGAAATGAAAGCATAGTAAGGGGTAGAGAGACGGTGATAACTCAAAAAGTTATAAATGGGATGTGGATTCAATGTGGAACGCGTACCTTTTCGCAGGGCAATGGGCAAATCATCCTGAGTGGTTTCAAGTGCTGGAGTAGGTGATGGTGGTGATGCAGGATCCGTCATAGGGGAATCAATGGGCGTGGCCACGATGGGCTCAATGGAAGGAGGTCGAGGACGTCGATGGTATACCTGTAATGGACGGTCTGACATAGGAGGGAAGTTTGGGTGCTCATCAGATGGAGGGTTAATGGGAGCCTCCTGATGGATGGGCCGGAGATATGAGGTGAAGTCCAAATATGACGGGGTATCAACTGAAGATAATGGATAGTAAAAGGACGACTCAATGAAAGTGACATCAGCTGAAATAAAATGTTTCTTAAGTAATGGAGAATAACAGCGATAACCCTTTTGGAGTCGCGAATATCCAAGAAAGATACATTTTATTGACCTAGCCGACATTTTAGGTAATCCAGGTGTCGTATCATGGACAAAACACACACACCCAAACACATGGGGTGGTAATGGAAATAAATCACGAGCAGGAAACAAAATAGAATAGGGAATTTCATTATTAAGAACTGAGGAAGGCATTCTATTAATTAAATGACACGCAGTGAGCACAGCATCTGCCCAATACTGAGGCGGTGTATGAGAATGTAATAATAAGGTACGGGCAGTATCAACCAAGTGTCGGTTCTTGCGTTCAGCAACCCCATTTTGTTGAGGCGTGTGAACACAAGATGATTGGTGAAGCATACCCCGTGATGTCATGAATTGATTAAAGGATGCCCCAAAAAATTCTTTAGCATTGTCACTGCGTAAAATTTTGATAGAATGACCGAACTGAGTTTGAATTTCAGCACAAAAAGTTTGAAAAATATGAAACAATTCAGAACGCTCCTTCATTAAGAACAACCACGTGTAACGGGAAAAATCATCCACAAAAATAACAAAGTAACGGAAACCTAAAGTAGAAGTGACCCGATACGGACCCCATACATCTGTATGAACTAAATCAAACGGTGATGTAGCCCGTTTATTTACTCGCCTTGGAAAGGATTTACGAGGTTGTTTTCCAAGGTGACATGACTCACAATCTAAAGATGAAAGATTTGAGAAACCTGGAACCATACGTTGAAACTTGGAGAGGCTAGGATGACCCAGACGATTGTGTAAGGTAAGAGCAGGTTCAACTGAAACACAAGCGATTGGATCAAGAGGATGGAGGTGATACAGACCTTGAGATTCATGTCCGACGCCAATCGTTTTCCCCGTACAACGGTCCTGCACAATCACAGAATCAGCAGAAAATGTTACGGAACAATTAAGAGCACGTGTAATTTTACTGACAGAGACAAGGTTAAAAGGGGTGTTAGGGACATATAAGACGGAGTCTAATGGTAAGGATGAAAATGGAAGTGCTTGCCCAATACCCGAAGCCGAAGTTTG